ACATCCTCAACCAGTTCTTCTTTATTTGCCCGCACAAGGTCCAGTAGCGTTACACTTCTTGTTGGCTCCTCCACCACCTGGGTCAAAAAGTTATCGTCGATGTTCTGCAGGAACCTCCTGGACTGTGCGCACTTTGCCATGTGGTCCTTCCAGTTGATATCAGGATAGTTGAAGTCTCCCATGAGAACCAGGGCCTGTGATTGTGAGGCTACTTTTAGCTGTCTATAGAAGGCCTCGTCTACTTCCTCGTCCTGGTTGGGTGGTCTATAGTAAACACCCACCACAGTGTCACAATGCCATGCAGCTGCAACAGCTCATTCTGCACTGTACTCATCTACCTTCTCACTTCGACCTTTCATTTCCCTGTTGCCTTCAGAGAAACCTCTTAGCCTTTCATTTCAGCTGATTAGAAACAAAATTAATCTAAGTACTTCTTAATTAATCAACCAGAAACTTTCTTAGAGTGTTTTTCAGCCATTCTTAAATGGTTTCAGCCTGTGGCCAGACGGGTTACTCTCAGGTACTAAACAGATGATACAACAAAGTAGAAAGTCTCTTAGCTACTCACGGCACCTGATATTTACGTTCAAACCTGTTCTCTCCACCCAGCTAGCATCAACTTAAATTCCTCTCAACAAAAATGGAAGGAAAAAATCAGCTTTAAAGGAGTATAGTGGAGAAGAAGATGTGTCGGAGAAACTATTACACATGGTAACATCTGCAGGAAGGAGAAAACCAAGAGAGAAAATGTAACTGAGAAGAACAGAGCTGTGAGACTGGGGTGCAATTACATCCACTGCTGTCTGCGGATATGCTGAAAGAGAAGACTGGATATTGAACAACACTTAATGTAGGGGGACTGCAATGGCTACTTGGCAGTAGTAGAGAAAAGGCTAGAAAAGGACAGGGACACATCAGTTATTGCCTGCGCTATTGTAACTACCAAACAGTAACATTGCCAATGTTTTTTTAAACAGATTGTGTGGTCTTTCTGCCATTAGTCCCACATATAACACCATCAACTCCATTAAAACGGGGGATTAAACATGCAAGACATAGGAAAAAGCAGCAGTTTTCCCCAGTTTTTATAAGTTATAGTAATGGGGAGGATAAAAAATATGTGGCTGTTACCCAGTGTGCCCTAAGGATGCAGGCATCAGTGAGGACTTAGGAGGTTTCACTCTTCCCTGGCTGTACTTGCCTTACCAGGCCACTTTCTGCAAGTTGCTTCTCACCCTTCCCGCTTCAGTTTCTCCAAGAAAAGATTCTTATTTTACAAAATGGTTTGTCACTTACTGTTGTAAAGCACTGTACTGGGTTTGTGTAGCAAGGCCTTGGGGGGTAGGGGGGTGGTGGAGCTACAGGGATGGCTTCTGTGAGCTGCTAGAAGTTTCCCCTGTGTCTGCCACTGGCCAAGGCCAAGGCAATCAGTGACAGTGGAAGCGCCTCTGTGATAACATATTGAAGAAAGGAAAAAAATCTGCTGTGGCTCAGTAGACGAAGAGAGAAGTGAGAGGATGTGAGAGAACACAGCCCTGCAGGCACCAAGGTCAGTGAAGAAGGAGGGGGAGGAGATGCTCCAGGCGCCGGAACAGAGATTCCCCTGCAGCCCATGGTGAAGACCATGGTGAGGCAGGCTGTCCCCCTGCAGTCCATGGAGGTCTACGGTGGAGCAGATATCCACCTGTAGCCCGTGGAGGACCCCACGCCAGAGCGGGTGGATGCCCAAAGGAAGGAAGCTGTGACCCTGTGGGAAACCTGTGCCAGACCAGGTTCCTGGCAAGACTTTGCAGACCCATGGGGGGAGGAGCCCACGCCGAAGCAGGCTTGCCGGCAGAACTTGTGACCCCACAGGGGACCCACGCTGGAGCAGTCTGCTCCTGAGGGACT